GCCAGCATGAGTTCTCTCTAGCGCAGAGTTTTGGTCCGTGCTATTATCAGGCTACCGTCATAATCATTAGGAGTTCACAAAAGGGATGATATGATGATGGTGACTGCAACAGCAGGGAACTGTCTCCATGACCAAGGAGTTCCCTTTCAGTCCTATGTTCTGATCATGTGTCCATTGCTCCAGCTTCTGAGACTCTGTTTCTTTTCTCTGTGACAAATGTTGCTTACTTCACATCACTGCTTGATTAATCTGTTAAGCAGCTGTATTTGTGTTTGCAGACTATGGGTTGCTATGCATTCGTTTTACCACCTCCACACCTCAGAGCTTTGGCAACAATAACATATTCTTAAAAAAAGAAAAGAAATACTGTTAACTCTTTACTAGCTCCCATGATGAGAAAATCAAACCACATCATCATTGACTGAAATGTGGCTTTCCGGTAAATCTTGTATATAGGGTGGCAAAGATGCTTCACCTCGGGAAAGGAACTAAGAAGGAATTATGCTTCAGAGAAACATACGTTCTCTTTGCTTTGTGGGATAGTAGTGACTAGTGACAAAGTAATGTGCACTTCAACAGGAGCTGGGAGCCGTGACAAGGTGAGAGAGAAAAGGGCTCCATTTAGTCCCACCTCCTTTTGGGGCCACAGGGTAGAGCAGAAATATCTATATCTATATACAAAAAAAATGCCACATTTATCCACATATTGCTTGCACCTTTTCCCCAAAAATCAGCCTTCCAAAATGGTCTTAAGTGTGGGAGCTAATTTATCTAAGCTTGAGTGGAGGAATGGAAGCATGGAGACACTGTAAAATGACTGTGGTGCTTCCCATGGAGGAGGGTCAGAGTTCATTCTTCAGGGTCAGAGCTAAAGAGTTAACCCGTTCACCGCCACTGTGGAACTGGCAAGAGCACTGGCGATGCGTAGGGGGAGCTCCCCACTTGTTGCCACCATGCTCCCACCACCAACAGCACTGCTGCTGCCTGTGGGAGCTCGCCATGCCCCCCCAGCCTCTGGGGGCACATGGCATTCATGGGCAAGAGCTTCTGGCTAAGCAGCCAACAACTGCTGCCAATTCAACAGAGGCTGCAAGAGGGTTAAAAAGTTAGCTTTTACTTGAGCAGCACCAGTCAGGATTCAGCCATGTGGTAAAATCCCTTGCAGTCAGAATTTATCCATGCCTCTAGAAAAATCATTTTTTCTTCATTCTGTCTTTGAAAACTAGGCACATATGGGTATGTGTGATATGCTAGAAAAGATGGTAATTGCTATTGCTCTAGTAGCTGTCATTCAGGAATGTGCTGCCTAGTTCCTATGTTCGTGTTCCAATAAAACTCTTTTTATTGTTCACTGAAAATGGCTTGCTTTGACAGTTCTTTATAATAGCTCTTAACAATAAGCGCACAGAGCCTGAGCCTACTTACCACATAGCCACTCCCCGATCAGTTTGCATGAGAGGCCAACACGAGTTCCTCCTCTGAGGTGCACAGGCCATGTCACCAGCTAGTTGTAACCATCAGGGAAAAGCAATAGATTCTAGTCTTTCAATACAGAAATTTGCCAATACCCAATATCTGCACAAACCTACCCTGTTACTCTCTAAATGAAAATTTAAAGTCTCTCCTAAAATAAGTGTGGCACTCTTCATATGTGTGTTAATTTAGGCCTTTGAACAATTTCCTAATAGGCCCTTTCATTCCTTTAAATGTTTTATTTGCATTTGCACGCCCGTTTCAGACATGTAGAGCATTTATATATGTACATTTGTCTGCTCTGGTGCATCTGAGCAGATTCAATTAATCGAGTCTGCTCCTCACGCAAGCTGATGAGCCTAGCGCTGTGTCACATGCATCTGTATAAATGGCAAAATGTGCGTCAGCACTGAGAAAATGGCGGCAGTGCGTTTTTGACCTAAAACACCTTCTATGTGTTTTAGTTCAAAAGCACACCGCCACCATTTTCACAGCACTACTGATGTGCATTTCACTGTTTATACAAATGCCCGAAGTTGCTACAACCAGCTCCATGGGCAGAGTTTGCCATTTCATTTAATCCATAGTTCTTTCCTTACGCCATTTCCTCAAAAGATAAAGAGTAAAACACTAAAGGCATTTATACCACATGTCTCCAGGGGAACATAGTGTAGAACTGTTTGATGCCTGTGGCCTAAACCATCCTTATCCATGAACAGAGGGCAAGTCAGGGAAGGATAAGTTCATAGAGATTCCCCTTCAACTGTTTTAGCCTAATCATTCATAGAGGAGGAGGGGGTTTGCTACTCTTCATCATAGGCCTTTGATTTCATAGATTTAATAGATTTCATAGACATTAGGGCTGGAAGATCATTTGGTCCAGCCCCCTGCCCCAGGGGCAGGAAGTCAGCTAGGGTCAAAGGGTCCCAGCAAAATAAACATTCAAATGTTTCTTGAAAGTGTCCAGAGTAGGAGCTTGCACCACCTCTGGGGGGAGTCTGTCCCAGGCCTTGGGGGCTTGGACAGTAAAGAAGTTTGTCCTTATGTCCAGCCTAAAACAGTCTTGCAGGAGTTTGTGACTGTTGGACCTTGTTATCCCCTGGGGAGCTCTGGTGAACAGGTATTCCCCCAGATTCTGATGCACACACCTTATGTACTTATAGTACTTATAGTCTGCCACCAGGTCCCCCCTGAACCTGCAGTTCTCCAGGCTGAAGAGTCCCATAGCACATCTAAACATGCACATCTTTGAGCACATTTACACATGCATTAATGCACTTTAGTTAATGCAAATTAAACCTAGTACCTCCATTGTGAGGTACTAGGAAAATGTGCATTAGCTTGTCTTAATGCACATTAACTAGAGAGCAAATGGCTCCTATACACATGCAGGGAGGCTGCTCTGACATCCTGTAATTACAGCACATTGGAGCAGATTAATTAATTGAGTCTGCTGGAGTGTAGTAACTACTGCACTCCAGCAGAATCCAGTGTCCTGTGTATCAGCAGCCCCACACTGAAATATGCCAGTGGGGGCACTTTAACTAAAGGTTGTTAGAAGAGCTTTAGTTAAAGCGCCCCTGCCAACATTTCTCAGCATGGGGATGCTGATACACTTGACAGCTCTCGGAGTCACTCTCATTAAAGTGCCCTCCCCGCAACTCCTGGAGCACATGTATAAATGTCCAGTTTTTAAGTGATGCTTAATAAGCATTACCCTATTTTAATGAGCATTAAAAAAAAAGCACAGGTTTTTTAGTGATGCTTTAATGCACATTAAAATAGGCTAATGCATATTAAAATGCACATGTTGAAGCACCCTTTGAGTCCTCCTGAAGACCCTATGGATTCCAAGGGATCTTGCAGGAGGTTAGAGTCATCACTAGGGTTGCCAACTCTGATTGAAGCTATTCTGGGAGATTTTTTTTCTAACGTGACGTAAAGCCATTAATTCTGTTCAACCTGTTCGCAATATCAATCTCTCAGATTACTTTCAATAGTCACTGGGAGATCAATGCTGATTCCGGTAGACTCCTGGCCAATCCAGAAGGGTTGGCAACCCTAGTCGTCACCACTCTATGCCTGAACCTCCTGACTTCCTGGAACTCTGGTTGGTTGGCTAATGAAAAGACTGGTTATGTATAACGATTAGGAATTGCTGTTATACCCCCACCCATGACCACTTCTGCAGGTACAGCTCACTTTGTTTCCCTGCTCCTAACTCAAACTGGTTTACGTACATTGCATAAACTGGTTTGAGCCACATCAGTTAAGTCTGATACTAGTGTAGGCTGGGCTGGGCTGGGAGGGGCGCCCAGCCTGGGCAGACATACTGGGAGATGTAGTCTGTGGCAGGTCCTCACCATCCACCCCGCAGCAGCAGGGTCTGCTAAGGCCCTGCTCTCCTCATGCTGAGCTCGGGGAAGCAGCAGGGCCGAGCCTGCAAAGCCGCAAGTCACCCCCTGCCCTCAAGTCCCTTGCCATGGGTTGGGGAACGGCAAGGATAGCTTTCCATGAGCTTTCCATTATCTCAAGGGATGGCACCCTTGAGATAAACCAGGTTTATCTCAAAGCAGTTTCAGCCATTTTCAAACTGGTTTATGTGCACTGATGCCCCACGTTCCAGTCCTTTCTATTGCTGTTGCCTTCTCCCCTTGGACTACATTCTCCCTGGGCCTCCGACAACAAACCAAGTCTTCCCCTTGCCCAGGGATAATATCTGCACCTGCCCTTAAAACTGAATCTGAACAGGACAGACTTAAAGACCCGGAGGACGAAGCTTCACTGCGGAGGAAGGTTTTTAAAAATGCTTCGGCTTCCCGGTCGTTAAGTTCAGATAAAATTTTAACGGCAGGCTGTTTTTGCTCGTAAGATGTAAGACACCAGGGTGCCAGCCCAGACCTTGGCAGCGGCTGGCGTTTGGCCTGACCATGGGGCTCCTGCAGTCCCCGGTTCTTGTGGGTCTGGAGAAACCCCTCACTCAGATCGGACCCGAGCACCCAAAGACACCACGTCGGACTGGTGAAGGCGCCGTCCTTTTGCGAACCTGGCTGTCCCCAAACCCGTGGGAAGGGACCCGTGGCTCAGCGCGAGGAGAGCGGGGCCGCGGGCAGCCCGAGCAGGAGGGCTGGGGGCTGGATGGCGAGGACGTGCCGCAGACTACATCTCCCAGGATGCCTGCCCGGGCCGGGCGCCCCTCCCAGCCCAGCCCTGCCCAGCCCTGCCCAC